TATAAAAGCTATAGCAAAGCAAATAACGGAATTACAGATTTACGTTATACAATCTAACGAAAGGCTACGACGAAGTACTTCAGCGTACTTATCCTTAATTCAATAATCGCTACGCAATACGTTAATTATACAATAAAAGCTAAAATCACTTTAGCGGCCTTTAAACCCTTTTCTTAAGAGCTACACTTAGTTTTCTGAAAAGCTTAAGCTTAATAGCAATAATAATAAAGGTTTTAAGATTATCATCGGACTAGACAATACTCGAAGCTACGAAAGCTATACGCTAAAAGAAGACTCGCTAAAACTTAAAAGCATTCCGAGCAAAATCAGCTTTTACTAAAGATAGCGTGCAGATTTCCGTGCTTAACTTTAACAATTCGAAAAAAGGATTTAGCACTTTCGAAAGTACCGACAAGCTCTTTAGATCTTTTAATAAGCTACGTATCGATAAGAAAGATATTAAAAGTATAAGAATCGCTAAAAGCGCGTTTAAAAGTACGGATATTATTAAGCTAAAGCTTTAGCCGGTAACTCGAATAGCTTTAACGATTTTAACGATGATCGATAATAAAGAAACGAAAAAGATTAACAAAAAGATCGAGGATACGGATACGGAAGAGGTAAGAACGGTTTTTTTAAACTATTAAAAGGATTCGGAAACGGACTTTTAAAAGACTTCGGATTCGGAAATGAGCCTTTTAAAGACTTTAAAAAAGAACGGACTATCGGCAATTATATCGGTAACCTTTTACCGATCAGATTATTAGCTAAGTACAGCACGCTTGCGTATAATACTTTAAGCGCTCTTGACGATGATAAAGATGATTTCTTTAAGCTAAAAGCAATAGACTTTTATTCGAAAGCGAAGGAATTAGCTTTATTCGCGCGAAGCTTTCTTAAAGAGCTAAAGTATTCGAAGCCCGACGATGATTTCAAAACTCAATTAAAGATTTTTATTAATTAAGCAAGTCGATACGGTTTAACTTTAAACGATTATTTAGCGGCGTTCTTTATTATACTTACGAAAGAAGCTATTACTTTTTATTATAATTACGTAATCAAAGCCCGGCTTTTTACGTTTAAAGCGAACGCTATTGTAATAAAGAATCATTTCGAAATTAATTATCGGCGGTAAGCAAAATACGACCGTTAAAAAGAAATTTCGCTAGATTTGGTTAAAAAAGAGAATTTAAAGACTTCGCTTAGCGAGTGCTTTAAAAAGCTCGCTAAAGAGCTTAAAAGTATTTAAAGCTCTTTACGACTAAGTTTAAAAGATAATCGGAGTTTCGCTAATAAGCTATATTCAGCTTGTAAAAACGTGCTAAAGACGATTATTGCGCGGATGAACTTAGCTTTTACTTTCACCGCCGCAATTATTGATATTCGCAAAGCTATTGCGTTTGCAATTAAGACCTTTCGACCTTTCGCTAAAGCAAGTAAAGCTTACGCGAGCTTTAACGAGCTATACGATTACACTTGTTCTTAACACACCTTAAAAGCTAACTCCGATTTAAACGAAGAATACGAATGCTTTATTCAAGACCGTTAATACTTCGAAAGTAAGAAAGCTGTCAAGGCTATTAAAAGTAAGAAAAAGTGTTTTGTTTACAAGAAGCTAAGTTGTTAAAATACTAACTATATCCTCGACGAGCGCAAGGCTTTCGTAGCTAAGTTTTAAAGCTTTAAAGACGCAAAAAGAGTGACGAAAAGCAAATTCTCTTAATACGTAGCATCGATTAAGAGCTTGCTACTTATATTTACGAAAGAATTCGATCAGTTTATCGCAAGCTTATTAAACGAGCTACTCGAATCGAGCAGTTACGCTAATATGTCGGAAGGTTTTGTGACTACTTATAGCACTTTTGACGCTAACGAAGTATATAAATAACTAGAGATTCAGACGGCATTCTACGCTCTTACTAGCTAAATCGAGATTTAAAACGTGCCCGCGAGCAAAGCAAAGACTTATATAACTTTTAAATACTCGGAAAACGTGTTTATAAGCTTTATAATTAATAGCGGAGCAGCTAATTTCTTTACCGCTAGCTTGCTTTAGCTACGAGCACTTTAAAAGAAGTACTTCGAGGTTTAAGTAAATACATCTTAAGCAAAAAAGAAGTCCGTTAAGTACGAGATCGGCTCTGCTACTTTTATTAAAGCAATTATTTTAAATACTCTTTTAAGTCAAGTAGAGTTCTACGTTGTAAAGAGCGACGTACTTTTTTTAATCTTATTAACTAATATAAATAAGCACAAAGTAATTTTAAATAACTTGCGGAACGTGCTAGTTTAAAAGAAGAAAGAAATACTAATAGTAAAGATATTTAAGCACGTATAGATGCTATTAAGTAAAGAGCACGCTATTACTTATTATAATACCGAAAGCGAGACCGTTTACTATTACTTTACGAAAGAGCAATTAAAGACTATCTACAAGCGTTTTAACTACTTTTTAGCAAGTCGATTTACTATTATTCTTAAAAAGGCCGAGCACGAATTCAAACGAGATTTGCTTTATAACATTTAAAAGTTTTGTTATTATTGTTAAGTATTCGAACGCTTTTCGAAAAGATTTAGTATTAAGCTTAAAGATGATATTGATTTTAATAATACGGTATACGTAAACGTAATGCATTTTAATAGCAAAAACGTATTGCACGTCGTTTGCGATTTTACTAACTTTTAAGCCGCTACTTTTTTTAAAAGCATATCCGTATAGCACTTACTTAAAAGATTTAATCGATGTTAAGTCAACACTTACGTCGAATCTTTTATAAATATCGTGCACGATCTCGGAACTAACTTCAATTCGATAGCGTTTCGAAGCTATCTTAAAAGTATTAATAGCATTCTAAAGCAAATGCTTATAAAAGCTTATTATAGCGTCGAGCTAATAAAACGCTATTACGTCTTTATACGACGCGCTTTTAAGATCGTTATAAAAGAGCTTCTTAAAGCTTTAAAAGAAGATCGGCTTTAAATAGCTATCAAAGCTATTAACGACATAACTAGACCTAATGACTTAGTTCTTATACTCTTCGTTTTTAAGACCTTATTAAAGCTAACGGAACAAGATCGACTTGCCGCGTTTACTTAAAAGCGTGCTACTGCTATTAACAAGGCTATAAAAGAAATACGGACATGCTACGCCGCTAAGCAAGTTAAAGACGCGCTTAAGAAAAAGAATAGGCTAATTACGAAGCATACTTTAAACTTTTTTTTTAATTCACGAGTATTAGTATAGCGAGAAAACTAAAGATAAAAAAGCTTTTTTCAGTTGCTTAGCAAGCAAAAGCATACGTGCATAATAGCATATCCGAAGCTTACGGAATTCAAGTCAACCTTAATAAAACCTTATTATTTTAAAGTTGAAAAGTTGCTAGAAGAGTTGCAAGTATTTAAAGTAAAAGTAAAAGAAGATCAAAGCGAAAGCGAAAAAGAGCTAAAACCGCGAAATTCGCTTAAACTTTAATATTCGCTTAATCCACCGAAGTCGCTTAATTTAAAAAGCTCGCTAAGATTAGCAAACAGCTTTTTTAACTTTTAACTTGCTAATCTTTAAAGATCAATAATACTAATAATTTAAATACTTTATTAAAAGTACGATCTTAATATCTCGACCGTGCTCGACGAAGAAGAAAATGATTTATATGCTTTGTTTATTAAAAACTCCGAAGTGTTCGTTACCGATAAAAAACGCTAAGATTATAAACTTTTAATTAAGCTACGAGCTAAAAGAATCATCAAAAGCTTTAAAGCATTATTTTAAAAGTCTAAAGCAAAAGAATTAGCTAGATTAATAGCTTAAAGCATCTTTTAAATGATCTCGAGCACCGACTTACGTATTAAAAGCGCTAAGATCTTCAGATCTAAGTTTATTAATAAGATCAAAAGCAAAAGAATACTTATATTATACGAGAAGTCTCGTATAATAGTCTAAGCCTTTTAAGATAAAAGCAAGACGAAAGTACTTACCGAGTCGCTTATAATGCAACGAGCGAGCTAAAAACTTTATTATGCTTTAGCTCTTTCGTTAATAAAAAACTACGAATATTAAGTTTATAGCAAAGATATTATTTAAGCTTACACTTAATTAAGCACGAAGCTCATACGAATAATTGTCGTGCGATTATTTAAAGAGATCACTTATCGATTCTTTTTCGGCACTTTGTTTTTTATAACTAGCTTTTTATACGAGATCTTCGAAGTAAGTACTAAGAACGCATTAATATAAGCGTTTTTCAAAGCATTTCACGGACAACTTCGAGATAAAGCAATTAAGCTTTAATTCTTGCTTTTTTGTGTTAATTAATAAGGATCAGCTAAGAATAGCTGCTTTATAAACGAACGATATTCTTATAGTTGTTAATCGAGCTATAAGAGTAAAAGAAGAAAAAGAGTTAGTCAAATTTAAGCTAAAGAGCAAAGAAATAAAAACCTTTATACACGCCGAACCGATGATTTTCAATAGATGTAAGTTATCTTTAGATAAAGACGAGTTCGGATTATTAGTTAAGCAAAAAAAGCAAAGTAAAAGGCTTATCGTGATTAAGCTCGACTTAGCAATACGGGCTAAAGAATACTTAAAGCAACGTACTCGAGAGGCGTATTTAACTATTATTTGCTATATAAAAGCATTTTGCGCTTTATCGATAGCTGCTTAGCATTAAGAACCGAAAGACGAAGACTATAAAGCTCTTAATAAAATGATTTAATAGCTGATCGATTACTTAACCCGAAAGATCTATTACGTGCTTTTAAACTTAAGGACTGCAAAGCTTTTTATATTCGTAAACGGAGCGTTTGCTAATAACGCTAACCTTAGCTTTTAAATCGGTTTCGTAATTATCTTTAGCAATAAAGCTTACGTAAGTAAAAACGAGTTTACTTTGACGAGTAATATTTTCTATTAAGTGTTATAGAAATGCAAGAGGATAACAAAAGCAGTATTAGCCTTTAAGCTATACGCTATATCTTTAAGTATCGATATAGCTATTGCTATGTCGACTACTTTTGCCCAGATCATAACTCAGTTAAGAATCCTTAACTTCTTCGTAGTCGTATGCATTAACTCTTACTCGCTTTACGAGTGCATAATAAAGCTAAGGACTACTAAAAAGAAGCGCTTAATAATCGATATCATAGCTATTCGAGAGTCATACGAAAAGCGAGAGCTCTTTAAGGTACGTTAGATCGAAAGCAAATCCAACCTTGCTAACGCTATAATTAAAATCAAGGCTAATACCTCTTTGCAAGAGCTAGTTTTGACCAACACTTTGAAGGTGCAAGTGGATAGATAAATAGAAAGGCCGCTATAAAAAAAGGAAAGATGAGATTGTTTTTCCTTTATTTGATTATCTTGTTTCCTTTTTCGGTCGATATAATAGTTAGCAAAGCATTGCTTGCTAAAGAGAGAGTTGCTAGTATCGGTATCTTTATATCGACTTTAGCTAGCTAATAGTAGTAGTTAAAGAGCTCACCCGTGAACTATAGTTCACGAGCCACTTAGCATGCTTCGCTTAGCATGTCAGCAGTCAAAGGATCCTCAACTTGACAAGTAAGCTTATTAGTTAACTAGTGCACGTGATTCTTTTTAATCATATAAAAGGAATCAGCTCCCTTGAGCCTTAAAGAGCAGACAGAATTCCGATACTTTATCAACCGAGTGTTTTGCAATTGCAAGTACTTTGACGAACGTTACGACCTTACGAATATATATTCCCAATCGCTTGGAAGCAATCCAGCAGCTCGAATCTTCTTTTTCTTTTTCTTCGTCGTCTTTATTAAAAAGAAAAAGGGTTTGATCGCGGCGGTAGAATCGTTTAAAGCGGTTAACTGCAAAAGTGCTTTTAAGCTTAATTTTATCGGTTTCTTAAAGCTTATAATATCTCTTGTCGTAAGCTTTAAAAACCATATAAAGTCTTAGCTACTTATAGTCTAGCTTAATATTCGCGGATATATCGATGCTGCGTTTAACGTCGTAAAGCAGTACTAAGTCTTTCTTTTTAATAAGTTTCGATTTCAAGACTTTGATTCGTTCTTAAGTAGCTTTAACAGCAAATCGATAGCGCTTCTTTTTTAAAATGATCTCGTCGATATCTTTATTTCGAAGTTTTAATTATTTAAACTTTATAACAAGTAAGTTAGCGCGAGATCTAATCTTTTATTAAAGCAATAACTTTTAAACTAATTATCGTGATTTTAAAAGTAGCTTAGCTTTTCGTCCGTAGTTCAAAAAGAAAAGAATAACTTTAATAAGTGTGTATATCGATATTCGAACCGCAAAAAGCATTTTATTAAATTTGCGAACTTAATCTTTAAATCTTTTATTTATAACTTTCGATAAGCTATTTAAGATGTTTTTATGTTTTCTTTTAATCATTTTATTAGCTTTTGAATTATAGCTTAAGATTTAAACCTTTTTAATCTCGTATTTAATAGCGAAAGCTTTAGCAATTGCTTTGTTTTCGAGTCTTTTATCGATAATTAATCTTTCGAATAATCTATAGCAGCAAACGATATCTTTTTAAAAGAACTTAACAATAGATTCGGCGTTAGCTGATCGAAGTAATCGCTTTTTTAGCTATTTAAATAAATCTTCTTTAGTTATTACGAAATAAGTTATCTTTTTATTAGTAGTAAGTACTCGTAATACGTTTAAGCTGACTTTTAACCACATTTAAATAAACCAAGTCGAGTACAAAGAGTTTTCTGTTCGTCTAGCTTTACGTTTTTAATAAAGCTTATAACTTTAAACGAAAGCTTTGCAGTCTTTATAGCATTTATTTTAAAAAAAAAGTTTTAACGTGCGGTAATAAATTGATTCAGCTCTTTTATATTCGGATTCTCGATAAGCGTCGGAAATGGCCGTATAGCGTCTTTAAGCTCCGTCGACAATTAGCTTGATTAAATAAGAATTATTTATTCGCTTATAAAAGTAATTATCTTTAACTAAATAGTTGAATGCTTTATTCTTGAACTTTTAAAAGTCGTAAATCTTGATCGAAAGAAAGCGTTTAAAAGTAGTAAAGAATTAAGTAATAAGCTTAAATTCGAGCGAATAATCGTGCTTTAAAACTCTCTTTTTAGCTCGTAAACTATAGTTTACGAGTCGTTTAACCGAGAATATTAAAACAATGCTTAGCTCGTTAATAACTTAATCGTTAATATCTTTTTCCTTTCTTTTTTTAATATTTAAAAGATGCTCCTTTCTTTTCTTAAAAAGACCGTCCGCTATCGTATTTTTAGTCTTAAAGATATACTTAACTTTAAAGTTTATTAATCTTATTTACGCAATCTAATTCGTAACGAAAGCTTTAAGCAAATCGCTTATTGATCCGTTAAGTTAATCAACTAGTACTTTAACGTCGGTTTTTAAGATAAAATAAACTTCGTATAATTCGCTTTTTATCTTTTTTATAGCTTTTAAAGCATTGCGGTATTTTCGCTTAATCGCGTCGTACTTGCTTTTAACAAAATTCTAAAGACTACTTTCGAACTTAACAAGATGTCGCTTCTTATCTTTTAAGACTAGCGTCTACCGTCAAGTAGATTTTCTTTTCTTTTTTATTATAATCGATCTTAATAAAAGCGAAAGCAAAAAACAAAGCTTCTTTAAGCAGCTTTATCGCTTCTTATTAAGGTTTTAACTATTCGAATTCGACCTTTTTTCTTATAATCGCGTAAATTAAAACAGCAATCGTAAAAAAGTTTTTGATTTAGATTTTATAATAAACTACGATTCTAATAAAAGCTCGAGCTTTCGATATATCTTCGCACTTAATCTATTTTAATATCTTTTTAATTTTAACGGTTTAAAAGTAGCGTCTTTCGCTATCTGTAACGAATCTAACGATGTTAAAGCTAAGCATGCAGTATTAAGACTTCGTTCCGACGATCGTTTTAGCTTTTTTAAATCTTACGAGCACTTTATCGATGTTTTAAATGTGTTTTAAAACGAATCGTTGTATTTCGAGCAAAACTTTTTCGTAATTGTAAAAAGATCGCGATCTTTTAATTTTTACGTCATTTATATAAAGTAAGCAAACGTTAAGAATATAATTTATAAAAATCTTATAAATAATTTTAACGAATTAAGCAATCGAATTAATAGCATTTATAAGTATCCGAATTATTCGAAGCAGTCCGATAAGCGTTTAAATAATTATTATATCTTTAAACTTAACGTCGAAAAAGAATTAATCGTATTTAAAAAAGAAATTTAAAAGTATAGTTATCGTAAAGCTAGCAAATTCGTTCGAGAACTAATTTACGTTCGAAGCAATATTAGCGTTTTTAACCGTAATACGGTCCATCTTAATTATAATAATAATCAGCTTATATATATTTTTTTTTTATTATAATAAACTATTTGTTCCGGTAAAAGCTTTAATATAATTCGAGAACCTTTTGCTTTAATCGCTTTTTTAGCATAATAATAATCATTTCTTATAAAGCTTTCGATACCGTAAACGTTTTTTTTTATTAAGCTTCGTAAAGCATTATCTTGATCTTTTAAAGTAGTATAACTTCTTTTTAAACTTAGCTAAAATAAATAAAATCTTAAGCTATCGCTTCTTTTCGATTTAAAAAGCATTAATAAAGCAGCTTTTTTTCTTTTAAAGTGATTTAAAAGCTAATCGTAAGTGCTTCGAATCGTTCTTTCGTTAATTTTAATCTAACTTTTAAATTTAAAAACTTGCTAATAAAGTATTCCGAAAAAAGTCTTTTAAGCTTAAAAAGTCTTACCTTTTTATCTTGCTTAAATTAATCGTCGATCTTTTTAAGTATCTTTTTATCCGACACTTTTAAATCTATCGGTTTAACTTTCTTTGCTTTCTTTTTATACATCGTATTAACTTTTATTATATTCTTTTTTAAAAGGTCTTTATCGTTATCGATAATGAACATAAAATTTTCCGATTTATCGAGTTTAATTATCAATATTTTTAATATTTTTAATTTTAATAAACTTTGCTTAATATTAAATTAAATTGTTTTTTTATAATTTTGTTGTTTTTATACCGATTTATTCGTAAATTATAGTTCACGAGCGGAATTTCTTTTTAAGCTTCTTTCTAGTTTAACATTTATCTTAGCTTGCATACTAGCTATTAGTTTCTCGAGTCTTCGATTAAATCCGACTTATCTTTTGCAATAGTAATCTATCTTTAAGTAAATCGATTGTAGTTTTAAAAAAAAGCTTTTATCGTGCTATTATCGAAGTAAAAAAAAGAGAGTTAAGATTTTAAAAAGAAAAGCATGCTTAAGATGACTTCGTAATTGCTATTATTAATAATAAAAAAATCGGCGTAATTAATAATCTTGCTAATAATAACTTCGACGTCGTTTATCTACTTATCGAAGTTATAAAGATCTTCGGATACGGTAATATAAATTAAGGCTCGATCCGTTATAATAAGTAATTTAGCTATTTTAGTTATCTTTTTGTTTATTATATTAACTTTAAATCTATTATCGAAAAAAGATCTACTTTTGATTATACCGTCGATATTAATAAAAACTTTTAAAGTCTTTATCGCTACTTCAAAGCAATTGCGAGCGATAAGTTGTTTACGAATTTACGTCGTTAAAAGGTCTAGCTTGCTTTTTTCGTTCCGACTTAAACGTTTAACAGTTAAAGCGTTTATAAGAATAAGCTTATTTTAAAAGACTTCTACGTTTTCTTTAGCATCGAAAACTATTAAAATATAATAGCTTAATAGCTTATCGAAGCGAGAGCTAAATCCGAACAAGTCTTTAATTTAAACTTCGATTCTCGATTTCATAATCGCCGCTATTGCTTTTTTTTAAGCTTTAATAATAACGTAAAGGTTAATAAACTTTTTTTTATAAATCTTTTTCTTTTTTCTTTTTAATATTCGCTAAATGATCTTAACTTCTTTTTTTATATCTCTTATAACTTCGTCGGCTTTAGCTAGTCTAAAAGACTCTTTTTTAATTATACTATCGAACAACTTATCTTTTAAGTCTATTTTTATAATAATACTCGATTCTTAAAAAGCATAAGCTTTAAAAGTACCGTAGTTCTTCTTTTTTTATTATCGGACATTCTTTTTAATCTTAATAAGTTTAGATCTTTTCGAAAGCAAGAAAAGCTTTTTAGCTTTATCTTTTGCGGCAGCGTTGATCTCGACCGAAGCAACTTTTATGCTAGATAAGTAGCTAAACGTGTTAATCTACTTTATAATATTAATATTCATAATATCGACTAGTCTTTTAAAGATAATAATAAGTTTACTTAGCTAGTTAATTAATCGTTAAAGATTTTGATTTAATTAATACTAAGCTGACTATTAAATTAATTATTAATAAGAGAACAAGTGTTTATAAGTCTTAAGTCCGCTAATAAGTCGATTCTTTAAAATGTTGTCGTATTTTGTTTTACGAACGTTTAGTACGATAAATCTAAACCAAGTCTTTTTTTACTTCTTTTAGATAATAAAAGCACCGATCTTTAAGTCTTAAACAAAAGCGTTCGTAATCACTAATGTAAATATATCTTTTATTAACTATATTCTTAAAAGCTTTATATTTATTTCGATATTAATAAAATGCTTAATTTGTATCTTTAAAGTTCTTGTAAAAGCTATAATCTTGTATCTAGTTCTCGTATCTTTTACTTTTTCTTTTTCTTCGTTTTTATAATCCGTAGCCGATAATAACAATATAAACTCTATTTTTAAAGCTAACTTTACTTCGAGCATCTTAAGCGATATACTTAATAAAAGTTTCGTCGTAGTTTTCGAATCGAACTTAAAGTTAAGATTAAGCTAAGCGTCGAAAAGTTAAGTTAGCGACTTAATCTTCGAAGTAATCAATTCGATTATAAATCGTATTGATTTATAGCTTAAAAAACTTGTTAATTATAAAACTTATTTTATTAATTTCTTTTTTTTTATTTGTAAACCGTAGTTCACGAGTAAACGGCACTATTACTAAGGCTTTCTTAATAGACTTAAAAACGCTAGCTAGCTCGGTGTGCTTTTTAATTGAGGTCCGAATATTTTTAATAAAGTTAATTAAAAAAGACTTTTCTCGATTTATAGCTTCGATAATCTTAGCATTTTAGTCGGTCTTAAAAGCGAATGCGGCGAAGTCGTCGAAAGCAGTATAAAAATTTAAGTCGAGCTCGTCGACTTTATAATACTTAATCGTTTTGTTTTAAATTCCGATAAGCAATTTAAGAAAAAACAAGCGGCTTTATCCGGTCTTGCTTAAAAAGGGCATTAAAATAAGCTTTTCGAAGACTCGAAAGAAAATGCGATAATAGTTTTTTAAGTTATTAATATTTCGTTTTTATATAGCAAATTCTCGTAAAAAAGCGACCGAGTCTTTAATTTATTAAGTATCGTTCTTACGAAACTCGGCTTTTAAAGCTTTAACGAAAGCAGCTTAATCTTTTTTAGCTTTTTATTCGAGCAAGCTTTTAATAACCTCTTTACGAAAGTTATCGCAATAACGGAAAAGCTTAACGAACCGATCGTTTTTAAAAATACTAAAGTCATTACAAGTCTTTTCGTACTTTTCGATGAAGTCGATAATATTAACACTATTAAAGCAAAGAGCTCTTAAAGCACTTAATAATAGTATACGAGTAGTTATAAAAGCGTAAAAGATAGTAAAGTCGATTATAACTAGCGCAAAGCTTAATAAAAAAGCAAAAGGAAGAAGAGTAATATAAGTCTTAAGACCGGTATTGATTTTAAAAAGCATTTCTAAAGCAAATGTTTTTAATAAAAGTAAAAGTTCCGGTTAAAAGTCGAAATAAAATAAAGATAATCCGAAGCTTATAAAAATACGATTAAAAAATTCAACAAATTCAAAAGATTCTAACGAAAAGAAAAGTGATTCGGCGCCGACTTTAATATTAAGAATCTTAAAAAAGTTTTCGGTATTTTAAAAATTAAATATATATATATATTAAGAATGATCGGGTTAATAAAAGGTTTTTAAATTATTTGATTTTGATTCGTAAACCAAGTTCACGAGCAAAATAAGCGATTTTAGTAAAGTATTCTCGATCCGAAATTAAAAAGAATAGACCTTTTGCAAAAGTGAATTAATAATTAAGATTAAAACTATAAAAAACTTAAGAGTCAATTAATTAGCTTCGCTAATAACTTCGGATTATATCAATTGCTTTAATTTAAGACGAAAGCTAAAGTATAAAAAAGTATTTTCATTAATAAATAAAAATTCTTTTTTATTAATATTAAAAAAAAGTTTTTGCCGAAGAGCTGAAATATTATACTTCGGCTATTGCAGCGTTTCGGTGTCCGAACTTATCGAAAATAAGATTTTGATTGTTTTGAAGTTATAATTAAGTATAAAAAGCGGGCTGAATAATAAACGAAGATCAACTTGATTGCGAATCAAGCGATTGTAATAAGCTATATAAAGACAAAGACTAAAAGTTTGAATCTCTACGTAAGTTACTAATATAAAAGCACTTAAAAAGATGTGCCGTATAAAAGCCTAGCTTTAAAGTTAGACCTTATAGTCTCACAAAAGAAGTGCCAAAAAGATAGGTAGAAAGCTCGTTGATTGTTCTAGCTAAAAGATGTGTGCCTTCTTATAAAAGATGGGTCCGTTTAGTATGGCCCTAGTGGCCATAGCAAGTACCCTATCAGGCAGGGTGTTTACAATACGCTATTTATTAAAAATAAAAAAAGATTGCTATAAGCAAAAGAGCTATTAATAACCTATCGCATATTTTTAACGCAAAAGCAATAAAAGCTTAAAAAGCGCTCGAGCACGCTATTCGGCCTTTACTAGACTTTACTTATTACCGTATATACTAGTTATACATAGATAATACGTCCGTGATCTAATATATACGAAGCATAGCTTCGGCTACTTCTTAATAAGCGTTTTTATATATTTAAAAAGTAATAAAACAATTAAAAGTTAGCGTTAAATAAGCTTCGAGATATACCGGCATTATTAATAACGAAACGGCGGATCGGCTCGCCGACGAAAGAGCAAAGCTTAAGCTTGCATTAAGTCTTACTTCCGAGCTTATAGCGTTCGAAATCAAGTTTATTATTAAGACTTTAATCGATTAAGCTCGAGACAAATAATAAAATGCGAGCAAAGCGAAGCTTTTTATTTAATATCGCGATTAAAGTCTTGAGTACGCAAGCAAAGCTTTATTAAAACTACACTTGCTTAAGTACGTTTTGCATAAACTACTCGCGTTACGGACTTAACACGGAGACTTTGCGTAATATTATCGAAAGTATCGCTACGAAGACGCGAAAACTATTTGCTTTTATCGAAAAGACAAGTCTTCGATACACATTGCTTTTTATAAAAAAGCGCAACGCTTTTTCAATAGATAGCTTAAAAAAACACGATTACTTACTTCGCTTTTTACTTCGCGAAAAGCGATAACTTATATACGCTCTTTTAAAGCCTCGCTAACTGACTTTTATAGCCTCTTAAAAGCTACGGAGTTCTACTCTTTAAAATCTGCTTTCGGTACTAGTAGCAAGTCGATCTTGCATATCGAAGTATTATTACGAAAGCTTATACTCATTTAGCTTTTGATTTATTTTTAATAATTTTTATTTTTTCTTTCTTTTCTTTATTTTATATTAAACGAGCTTAAGTGCTCCGTTATAAACTTAGCTATCCGCGTAGCTTGCTTTAGCAAACGATATTAACTTCGGTCTTTTATAAAACTCGCTTATATGCTTGCTTGATATATTCTTTATATATCGTTTCAACAAAAAGAAACACCGCTATACTTATATTATTCTTTCGAGATCTGCTTTTACGTTATATACGTCTTATGCTTTTATATATATAAAGACTAGCTGTACGTTTATATACTCTTAAAGAGGTTACAGGACTCGCTGTAAAAAGCGACCCGTGGACGTTAAACGAATACTACTACTACTACTACTTTATAACTTCGATAAGTAAATAAACGACGTTAAAGTTACTATTAGCGAGATTATTGATTACGCTGATTTTTTTATTATTAATAATAGCAATTATAAAGTCATCTTAAGAATGATTTTCTTTTTAGAATCTTAATTTTTTTTTTTACTTCGATAATAATACGATAAAAGCTTTTTTTTAAAACTACGATCGATTTATTTAAAGACAAATTATTATTGCAAAAGATAAATCGGATTTAATCGAAGACTCGAGAAACTAATAGCTAGCATGTAAGCTAAGATAGATGCTAAGCTAAAAGAAATCTTAAAAAAAGAAATTTTACTCGTAAACTATAGTTTACGAGTAAATCGGTACAAAAACAATAAAATTATAAAAAAACAATTTAATTTAATATTAAGCAAAGCTTATTAAATTCAAAAATATAAAAAATATTTGTAATTAAACTCGATAAATCGGAAAATTTTATATTTATTACCAGGGCAGAGGACCAAGTTCTCTGTAGTGTCACCAACGGGCTAATTACTAATTTGTATATCATTGAAATAATAAATTATATTTTTTTATAGAATTAATAATTAGCTCGTTAATAATATTATATCGAACTTTATCTTTTGCTAAATATTCAACCTATTAAATAGATCGTAGAATAAAATTAAATATATATAAAAGTATTATTATATTAAAAACTTTAGAATTTATAATTTATTATAAGGGGGAGACATTCTTAAACCCTCCTTTATTACTCGTATTTTCATTTTTATACCGGGGAGACCCCGGACCCTTTTTATTACTCATAATTATATATTTACTTATATTACGAAGATATTAAAGGTTACAAATGTTATAGAAGTTATAAAAGTTGTTAGAGGAATATATTCGTAACTTTACTAACTTCGTAAACGGTCGTCAAAGTACTTGCAAATTGCAATTGCAAAACACTCGGTTGTAAAGGTATCTGAATTCTGGTTGCTGCCCAAGGTTTAAAAGAGCTGATTCGTTTTATACGATTAAAAGGAATTACGTGCACTAGCTAACTACTAGATTATATAATTAAGTTGAGAGTCTTTTTAAGCGATGGTATGCTAAGCGACGCATGCTTAATAGCTCGTGAACCATGGTTCACGGATGAACTCTTTTAAATACTACAAGTTAATTAAGGTCGATATAGATGAAGTTACAGAAGTTACAGAAGTTATAGAAGTTATAAAAGTTATAAAAGTTATAAAAGTTATAGAAGTTATAGAAGTTATAAAGGTTACAAAGGTTACAGAAGTTATAAAGGTTATAAAGGTTACAGAGGTTATAAAGGTTACAGAGGTTATAAAGGTTACAGAGGTTACAGAGGTTACAAAGGTTACAAGGGCTATAAGATCATATAAGTCACAAAAGTTATAAGAGTTATTAAGTCTAAGAATATGCATTAAAAAAGGTTTAAACTCGAATCTCTAACCTAGCTATAAGAGGTGCACTTAGAAAGAGGGAAAGAAGAAGGGGAGGAAGGTCTCGAGCAAAAGAAGAAGGTCTAAGTCTACGTTTCTTACGCGGGCTTTTCTTAAACGCAATACACTTTCGAAGAGACTATCGACAGCGAGCATATGCATCTTTCGAATTAAATATCTATACTTTACCGGCCGAAGAGTATGCTTAGCACTTTTAGCGAGCAGCGGCGCACGCATCGTAAGGCGAGTTTACTAGCTTACTTTTATATATATGTATTAGCTTAAGGTTGCTAAAAGATAAAAGAAAGTAATTCTTACAATTCGGTTTTTATAATACGGCCGACGTAGCCGATGATAGCACGGCGAAAAAGAAAGAGCTTTAATAAGTCCGATTGCTTATACGATTATCATATGCTTATAGCGGAAAGCGTATATAAGCCTTTATTCTTCTTTTAAGTAATTTAAGCTTAAAAGAGACGCGCAAACCCGGCAGTCGATTAAGCTTATTTAAGCTGAGCCTTAATAAAAGAGGTCTTTTTACTAACGGCCGGCGAAGACGCAAACATTTATTAATTTAATTAATAAGTATTAATAAAAAATATGAAAATATACTTACGCTTATACTTTATTATAAAGGTAAGATCGGTTTAAAGCTTATAAAGCGAAAGGTAGCAAGTGGCGTAGCAAAAAGAAGCACGGCGGCGGCGAAGAATATAAGAGCCGAAGCGCTAATAAAAATCGATAAAGCAAGAAAGACGAAAATAGAAAAAGAAAGAGAGCGAGAGATTATTAGCTTATTTATATCGTCGTCGTCTTCGAATTTATATATATATATATATATTATTAGCGTAAGTAGCTTAAATATATCACTTGATCTTAAGATAACTTATATTACGGGCTTAAAATCTTTTATTATTTTATTTTCTTTTACCTTTTTCTTAACCTCTTTTATTATTAAGTCTATAGCAAAAAGAAAAAGAGAGAAAAGAAAAAGCAAGGTAGCAGCGAAGACGATATGAAAAAGAGAAAAAGAAAAGGACAAAAAGCGAAAAATTATTAGCTTAATCTTATTATTATCGTCGTCGTCTTGATTGAATTTATATATAATATTAGCGTAAATAATTAAAATGTATCACTTATCATTTATACCGCGGGCTTAACTAAAGCAATAAGCAAAGCAAAAGGCAAAGCTTATTAAGAAAGAGGGAAGAGATGTAAAAGCAGCCACTGCTGCTTACGAAGTAATTGTACTTGCCGCTTATAAGCCGGATCCGGCCGACCTACTCGCTTTATATAAGGTCCGTCTCGAAGGTTGCGCTGGCGGAGTGAGATTATATTGCTGATATAATTGTAATCGTAATTGTAACTGCAATTAGGGTTAAGGTTAAAATTAGAATTAAGGTTGATGTTAATATTAATATTAAGGTTAAGAAGAATATTTAAGTTATAATAAATATTTAAAAGTGATAGACGAATTCACTTTTCAAAAAGGTCCGTGCTTAGCCAAATTCTTACACTTGCCGTATTCGTCGGTATAGCAATATATTTATATTATATTTTATAAAGTAACTTGTAATTCTTATAACTCTTATAACTTCTGTAACTTTTATAACTTCTATAACTTTTATAACTTTTATAACTTTTGTAACTTCTATAACTTATATAACTTTTATAATATATATAAATTTTCGCTTTTGCTAAATCTATCGGCTTAGCATGCATAATCATATAAAATTATCAAGTTATAAAAGTTATAAAAGTTATAAAAGTTACAATTGATTCGGCGCAATTAAAATTACAATCTAAATACATTGTTTACTTTTAATCAATTGCTAATAGCTATATAACTACTTTTAATAATAAACTATTAATATACATCTTATAATTCGTTAAGCTTATACTCTTTTATAGCTATCAATCGGTAAGCCTTAAGCTCGATCTTTGCGTAAGCTTTTAAGCTTTGAATAGCCTTTTTTATACGCTTATCTAAAACACATAAGCGCTAAAAGGTCCGCTTATTGCGATAATGATAATAAGTATATAAATTATCTAGCTCTCTTTATAAGAATAGACTTAAATAGCTTTAATAAGGTTCGTTCGTTAATTTCGCCGTATATTCCGATATCATCACATTTATTAAATTGCTAACTAAACATTTCCGAGCTATATCTCGAATAAAGTACTCTTTAGCTAGCTCGTAACGTCGTTGATAATAGCAATCTAAGCAAGTAGTAAATCGTAAACTAATGTTTAAGATAAAGAAGTATAACAATAAGCGGAAGCTATTGCACTTAATACATTCGATTTTAATAAGTCTTTTAAATAGCTAAGCGAGTGCGAAAGGCGTAAAACGCGGTAAAGATTAATAAATCGTATTTATACTTAGCTTAAAAGTTAAAAAGAATAAAGAAAAAGGCAAATCTAGCGCTAAATCTAATGCTTCCGCTTTAGCTTTAATTTTATTCGATTGCTTGATCTGCTTAAAAGCGCGGTGTACTTTAAGATCGTCGTATATTTTTTTATTTTTATACGTCGTATATATAAATTTAAAAAGATTCGTAAGTATAATATTTTAGCTTCTTTTTTTACTTACTTCGCTCTTTTGTTTGCTTTAAGCATTATCTTATATTTTATTATTGCTTTAAGCATTATCATTACTATTCATTAGTCTATTAGCTGCTTTAAGTATCGATAAGTCTTTTAAAGTTGATTTTACTTATAATACGAATCATCTCGTCGTTACTATCGAAGAGATCGAGTGACTTATATCGATAGCGTAGCAAGCTAGATGATGGTGCTATAAGAGCGCGTTATAAGGTTGCGTAATAAAAGTCTTTTAATAAAAGAGTTTTTAGTAATAGTATAATAGCCTCCTTCTTAATATCCTCCTCCTCTTTAATATCCCTTTCCTCTTTAATATCCCCCTCTTCCTTAATGTCGCCTTCCTCCTTAATATCGCCCTCCTTCTTAATGTCGCCCTCTTTATCAATATCGCCTTTCTTTTTAATGTCGCCTTCTTTCTTAATGTCCCCTTCTTCCTCAATGCCCCCTTCTTTAATCTCCTCTTCCTTAATCTCCCCTTCCTTAAGCTCCCCTTCTTCAAGCTCCCTTTTTTTAATATAGTTGGTAATACTTTTTTTCTTTTGCTTCGTATTCATAATAATAATAAGAAAGGCGATAAATAATTGATTGCTATATATTGTTTAATTTTAATATATCGTAAAAGTAAAGTGTTTGAATGCAAAGAAAGTATTTTATTAAGATTAAATGCACGTAGCAATAAGCCTTTATTTAAATTAAACGAGGAATAAAGGCTTCTTATTGGTTCTTGTAACTTTTGTAACTTTTATAACTTTTGTAACTTTTATAACTTTTATAACTTTTATAACTTTTATAACTTTTATAACTTTTATATAATATATAAATATATATATTTATACGTTTTATAACCGCTATGCAACCTTCGATATATATAATCTGTATCCCGATCAATACTAGTACTAATAGACTTTTTCTTAAAACGGCAAAAATCAAATACATTCTTAAACATAACCTCCGCTAAAGTCTTTACTTTAAAAGCTAATATATAATATAGCTTATAAGCAAATTTAGCTTTAGCTTAGCTAATCATTGCTTTAATCAAGGAAATTCTTTGATTTTTATATACCGTAATTGCGTAAGCCACGCGAAAAAGCAGCTGCTAACGATTACAAGGCTTATTATCGTAAAAAAAGTTTCGATTTACGATAAATACTAAAAACCATTTAGTCTTTTCGAAAATAAGATTAGTATAATCCTCGATCTTTATTATAATGCTTTATAGCAGTTCTTTACGTGGTTTAGCCCTTGCTTTTTAAAAGATATCCTTAACTATTTTTATAGACTTATTAATTATTCTTATTTCTGTTTAGAGATTTTGATTTAATATCACTTTAGCTTTAATATATATATTAATGCTTTGCTTTAAGCCTTTAGCTTCTTTTTAATTAGCGTTATAAGCTTTTGCGCTGCTCGTATTTTCTAATTTAAGTTTTAAGATAAGCGCGTTCAGCTTTTTTAACTGCTCGTGGTTATATTCTTTGACTTTCGCGTTCGTAAAGTAAATATAAAAGGCATTTTTAAAAGAATCTTTATTAGCCGGCCGGATATTCATTTTGGCTCGAAAAATAAAGAGTTTTTAACTATCTATCGAAAGGTTATCTTTTCGGAGTTTTAAAAGTGCTTTGCGGAAATTAATAGCTTTTAAAGACTCGCTCTTTTGACGCATAATAACCTTAAATCGAATAGTTTTATTAAATAATCGATAAAAAGACTAATCGATTTTTTGTTTCGACGAAAGGTTATAAGTTATAAATAAAGACTTCCTTTTAACTAGCGGTAATTAATAAAAATCATTATAAAAGTAAATACTTAGACTTTTAAATAGCTCTTAAGATTTAAAGAAAATCTAGGCATAGCGCCGTTAAATTCGAGCGAAATCTTTTAAATTAATTATTAACTTCTTATTAATAATTAAATACTTGTAATCTTTAAATTTCGCTTAAAAGGTCTAGAAGGTAGTAAGAGAATTGTTTATAGCATAGTGTTTGACTAATAGCGCTAATAAAGAATATAATATAGCTTTTGCGATGTTAAAAGCAGTAACACTTATAAGCGCTGCTCGAATAATTAAATTTGGCTTGCTAGCTTTATCCGCTATATCTTAAAGCCGAACGCAAGTAGCTAAAATAAAGTAGGTTTTGCTCGTGCTAGCCTTGCCGTCGAAATGAATTAACAGTTATAAAAAGGGTTGGTTTAATAATATTATAATATAATAGTCTATTATAAAATAATAAAACCTTTTTTGCTTATCGGAAAGCTTTTCAAGGTTACAACTTCGAGTAGCGCTAACTCGCATATCAGATACTTTTGCAGCAGCTCTTTAATTTCGAATATAAATAAATAAAATATTGTATTTGCTAATATATAAATCTTAATTATAAGCAAAATCTTCGAAGCGATTCGATATATCGTTTTCGTTTATAAAAACAATATTAAGATTTCGAGGATTCCGTAAGTTTTATTCTTTTTTTGCGTTAATATTATTATTATTTCGAAGCTTAAAGCTTTTTATATCGTATTCATCGTTTAAACTAGCTTTATTTTCTTCGTTAGCTATAAAAAAAAGATCGTAGTAATCGAGCATATGCAAAGAATCGTTATAAGGATCTCGATAAAAGCGCTTGCAAGCGCTATAAGCTAAAGCGAATATCGAATGCTTTTCTTCGGTAACATTAATAAGTAAATCGTCTTTTTTTCGGTAAAGATAATGCAGTATTAAATAAGTGCGCGCGTTATACTTATAATTATTATAAACTTTAATATTTAAGTATTAAAAGAAGTAATTAATAATTTAAAGCTTGCTTTTTCGTAAGAAGTGCTTCTTTTTACAAGTATATATATCGTAAACCTTAAGGAAATCTAAAAGAGTAACCTTTTTAACTCGTTCGAAGCGTTGTCAATACCGCTAAAAGTTAAAGAGTTTAAGTTCTAATTTATACTTATTCAATTCTATTTAATACTTTTTTTTTATCTGGTCGGCAATTTAAATTAATAAAGTTTCGAATAAATTTAATTAAATTGATCTTAAAAAGCAAGTGACAAACCTTTTAAGCGCTATAATCCCTTTCTTTTAGCAGCTTATTAAGCATCTTAGAAACTAGCGAAAAAGCTAGAGCTTTAACGTTAATATGTTTTAAAACTATATTAATAATATCTTTATAAAAGTCGGATTTTTTTTTATGCTTAAAGCAATACTTAAAAGCGTATTTTAAAAGACCTTTAAGGCTAGATATAAGCTGTATATCCGTGTTAATTAATTAGCTTAATATAAAAACAAATGAGAAAAGGTTTTGTAAAAGATGATTGCGTTAAGCGGTAAACTAATACTTGCGAAGATTAATCTTTCGATTATAATTAGTTATAAGCTGCATAAGACGCTTATAATAAAATCTATAAGAAAAGACTTTTATGTTTTTGTTTTTACGTAAATAGTATTTAATCGAGCAAACGCGGTAGATTTGCATCCGATTAATTAACGCAATAAGTTGATCGATCGTATTCTTGATTATATTAAAAAGTAAAAAGGTCGGGTTTTGCAAATCGAGCAAACGAGTCGCATCAAAGTTATAAGCGGTAATATAATCCTTTTAAAAGCTAACGAAGTTTAAAATACAAAAGTAATCGTCTTTCTTAAAATTTATACTAAGTTTAAGCTCGTTCGCATCGTTCGGTCTGCTTTTTAATTAAAATATATCGTAAATATAGCTCGAGCTACGATCCTGCTATTCTTATCGCGCTTAAAAATCAGTATACAGCAAATAATAATCTAAAATGTCTTATAAAAAAGCTTGCTAGCGAATATAAATGTAATAAGCAATAATAACCGGGTTTTCTTAAACATTTTTTTAGATTATCTTAGCTCGCTCAGCTTAATTAGCGGCCTTATATTTATTATACCGAAGAAAATAGCGCTAAAGGTCTTTTTATTGCATGTCCGCAACACTTTAAATAAGAAAGGCTGCTATAGCATTTAATTAAGACTTAGCTAGCGTTTTTAGTTAATAGCTTTGCTTTTTTTAAAAAGGACGAGTGCTATTAATAGCTTGCTTATAGCGCATAATGTAATTAAAAAAAGCTGGTTGCTTTTTTAATTGATTTCGCAAATTATTAATACTTAAGTCTTTAATATCTTTTCGAAACTTAATAAAATAAAAAAATATTTTTGCGACTTTAAAGCGTATTAAAATATTAAAAAAGTAAAATCGGAAACGAAAGTAAGTCGTAAAACGCTTATCGCAGTACTTTATTAAGTGTTTAACATAATCTTTTATATTAATTTTTCAAAGTCGTTAAGTATAGAAATCGCTTGCGCTAATAAAAAAGAGTATAAGAAAAGCTAAACTAAAAACCTTTTAATTAAGTTTTAGCTTAAAGATTAGCGTAGATCGCTAGCTTAAAGCAAAAGCAAAAACATATTGCTTCGATACGAGTTTATTAACTTAAGCAAAAAGCTAATTAGATTTCGTAATATTTAGATTTAAATCGAGAATTATAATCTTTAAAAAAAACGCTTTTAATTATTAAATAAGTTATCGTTAGCATTTAAATGATCTTTTATATTAAGTAAAGCATTTTTATCGGTTGCAAAAGCTTTATTTTCGCTCGAATCTTCTTTAAGATTACCGCGAGCTTTTCGACGTAAGTAGCGGCGTTTTTATGCCGATAACTTTATATTTAAAGCCGCTATCCTTAATAAAAGCTATTTAAGTATTTCGTTTTTAATAGTTGTGACTCGTCTTTTTATATCTTTATCTACGAGCAAAGAATTTATTAAATCTTAATCTATATTAATATTAATATACTTAAGATTATTTGCTTTTAAAAAAGTAAGTTAAATATAAATCGCAAAGCGCCGAACTCGATATTCTTTTTTAAACTGCTTGCTAATTCGAAGATCTTTATTAAAACCCTTAAGTTTAAGAATAATTACGTTGACTTTTTTAAAAAGCAAAAGAAGATTTTTAAAAAACTTAGCGTTATTAAAAGCAAAAGTTATTACGTAGCCCGAGTACTTATATTAATAGCCGCGGTAGCGTTAAAGCGATATATTAATATATAACGGTAAAATCAACGCTTTTTTTAATGCCGAAAGCTTTAACAAGTAATCTAGCATTTTATTTAAGTCTATAATATTACTAGCTGTTATAAGATAAAGCTGCTTAAAAAGATCCGGCTTTTTAATAAATCTATTACGGCGGTTATACTCGTGATAAATGATATCGTCGCGAACTTCTTTAAATCGCATTTCGAATTATCTTTCGTTATAACGAAAATAAAAGTTTATTTAAATAGCTTTTATAATCGAGTGAAAATCTTAAATCATCTGCTATTCTTTTTTACTTACCGCCGGCTTATACTCGGCTAAAGTAATATACGATTATAATAAATCCGAAAAAAAGATAAACCTTTAAAATTAAAAGTTGCGGCGGCGTTTTTCTTTAGCTTAAGTAGCATCTTTTACAACTTTATAAGCCTCTTTGCGTTATATCCGAAAGTCTTTTTCGGCGTTAGCTTTAATCTTACGACTCTCTCGAATCTCGCGGTCTTGCTTTAAGTT